TGTTGAATGCCTCCTATAAATTACTCGCCAAAGCTTTATCAATTCGACTGAGCAGGTACCTTCCGGACCTCATAGGCAAAGAACAAGGAGCTTTTGTGAAACATAGAAGTATCATGGACAATATAGCTTCAACGATTCAAGCGTTGGAAATCATTACAAAAGACAACACCGACATGGCAATCTTTCTCCTGGATATGGAAAAAGCATATGACCGTGTGGGTTGGTCCTTTGTGATGACAACCTTGAAGCATATGGGCTTTGGTAGTCCGTTCTGTCAGTGGGTTAAAACGCTGTATTCAGGTTCTGTAGCAACAGTGATGGTCAATGGTCAGCAATCAACAGAATTTACTCTCACCCGCTCTTTAAGACAGGGTTGCCCGTTAGCTCCTTTGCTCTTTGTTGTTCATTTGGAAATTTTGTTGGACAACATTCGTTTTAATTCAGAAATTCAGGGTTTGAAATTGAACTCGGGTCTTCAATGGAAAGGTGGGGCCTTGGCGGACGATCTCACGGTGGCTTGCCAGAACAAGAACGAGCAACTAAGAACTCTGAAAAAAGTATTAAATGAATATTGTGATCTATCTGAGGCCTCTATTAATTGGAGTAAGTCAACTTATTTTTTACCACCTTCCTACAATCTAGAGGTGAATTGGGGATTGAAAGTGGTTCCAGCAGATGCTTCAGAACGTTTTTTTAGTATTCAGGTCTCACAAACAGATAACTCGGAGTATCAAGATACCATGTTGGTCGAAAAATACTGCAGCAGGATATCAAGCTGGAAATATACAAGGCATCTCTCTCGATTAGGAAGGGCTTTGGTACTAACGGTAGCTGCAGGCGCAACGCTTTGGTTCACACTGGCGGTTCACTACCTGGGGGATCAAGCCTATCCGAAGATTAAGCAGAAAGCGGGACGCTTCGTCTGGAAACCAGAAGCTTTGGAGCAAGAGGGCTATATGTCAAAGGTTGCCTGGGATACCATAATCTTCCCGAGGTCACAAGGGGGGCTTGGAATTCTGGACCCTCGACAACAGAATCTGGCAATGCTAGCCAAATGGCCAACCCGAGTGCTTACCTCTTGCAATGATGAACCCTGGGTGGCTTTGGGGCTGCAGATTCTGAGTGAAGAGTGGGATTTATGCAGACAAGAGGATGTCCTGGCCTGTTTGATGATACCGTCATATGTGAACAGGCAACTGAAATCGAGATTTTGGGGAGGTATTTTAAGAGCATGGAAGAAACTTGGCCCAACGGAAAGGGAGCATCCGGTTACAAAGGCCTCGGTTCTGCTGGAAATTCTGTTTGAAAACCCCCATATAAAGGACGGGGAGAATAACATTTTTTTGGCAAACGGCTCGGTGGGACATTTTGGAAAGAGTTGGATAGAGAAGGGTGTGGTGAGGGTCAGAGACATTTGGGATGAGAATAGACAGGATTGGGTTGATGAGGCGATACTGAGACAGAAACTGCCAAGAACACGAGGCTTGCAGCAAAAGTTTTCTAAATTAATTAATGCCATTCCGCAGAGTTGGATAACGATTCTGCGAACAAACTCTGTTCCAGAGGAGGGAATGTGGATGAAGAAACTGAATAGCGAGGGGGAGTATGAGTTTTGGCATGTGAAAGGTCCAGCACTGCAGGGGGGTTTTGAGAGCTGTGTTTGGCATAAGTCGGTAGATTTCTCTTTCACGCACGAGATTACTCAGGGCAATAAGGAAATCTTGAGCTCTTTGGCAGATATGCAGGAAGTCGTAGTTACACTGCCTCTTGGTAAAGGGAAAGAGGGACTCCCCCCACCAAGAAGGAAAGTGGCTGTTCAAGGTCAAGCTCTCTGTTTGCTTGGTATTAATCCGAGTTCTGTGGGCTGGTTCAGCTCTGAGAAGCGCAGAATGATTTCCTTGACGGAATACAATCCTAAACTAGGTACACAGCTTCTTAGACAAAAGGTTAAGAAACATCCCTTTGCTACGGTTGTCAAACGCAGAGCAGAACAAGGGCTTTTGAATACAAGCTATGAAGAAATGCATGGGCTCTGGGCAGAGATCAAGAACTTTCCGTCTCAGAAGTTGGCAAGTATGGTATGGCTGCAGGCAATCTTGGCCACAGCATCTGCTGTGTGGTTGGCAGCCAAAGGCATGGAGATATCCACCACCTGTCCGAGATGCAGATGGGGTTGGGAGACATCGCGACATTTGTGGTTGACTTGCCCTGCCTCCAGACGTATCTGGGATTGGTGGATTCAACATTGGGTCAGATTTACGGGAAACAGTTTTGAATGGACAGATGAGTGGATTTTGACAGGCTGCAAGAAAGACAGGAACAACTGGAAATATGTGGCTCAGGTCTCAAGGGCGGTCATAATGAAGGTGATTTGGGATGACAGGAACAATCAGCTTTTTCGTCGTCAGTGCATGTCTGATATTCAGATCAAGAAACACATTTCTGCTGATTTACGGAGGACTATTATTTGTGACTGGAACAGACGGACTTCACGAGGCTTCAATATTAATCAGAGGAAATGGTTCAAAGACACGTGGGGGAGGAACTCGGTCTTGGTTACGATGGATGACAGGGGAAGGTTGAGGTTTTGCTCCTGGTTGTTGGCCACGATAGGCCATGGGGAACACATAAATACCCCGCCCTGAACAAAATCAACTTTCCCCAGGATACATCCTTAGTTTTTAATTCTTCCTTCCACCCTCCCCCTGGTCTACTTGTGTGTTCTCACTAAGAATGGAGTTGTCTTTTGGGGCTGTCCTAGGAGGAGTGGTTGGTAGGAGGTTACAGAAGGAGATTTTGGTGAGGAGGCTAGGACAATAAGGTCTTAAACTCAGTCCCGGGGGGGTTTAAGGCCTTACCCTTTTCCTTTTACGAGCTTAAGCGCTGCTTTTTTGGAGAAAGGTTTTTCTTGGTTTCAGAGGATCAAGTGAGGGACGCTGGACCCGGTTTCCNCGAGCTTAAGCGCTGCTTTTTTGGAGAAAGGTTTTTCTTGGTTTCAGAGGATCAAGTGAGGGACGCTGGACCCGGTTTCCAGCTGTTTTGCGCCGATTCTGGGTAATGGCCCCAGTATTCCGGGTAGATTTGTGGGGTCCCCGGCCTCAACTTGTTCCCCTTTTTCCATGAGTAATAAAAGCTCTCATCTTTCTCCAAAAAAAAAAAAAAAACAAAAAAAAAAAAGTGCGGGAATTCCCAAATTCACTTTTCGTGTCATTTTTGCACTGTGGCTGGGCCAGTAACGGCCGCTGTGTAAAAATGGCGGGAAAGTGTTTTGAAGGGGGCAAAAATGATGCAGAACGTGATTTTGGGGCCTGCGGCACCCTTTTCCCGGTTTGGGGGGAAATGGATACAAAGGTTTCGTCGCAGGGAGGTTTTATGACTTTTGCCTACCTTTTTTTTTTGAAGAGGGGGGGGGGGGGGGGGGGCGGAAGTGTTTTGGGAAGTTGATACCCTGTACCCGTAGTATAACGCATGTGCCTGTGCATTGTATACGAATACAACGAATGTGCATTTTGTTCGGGGGAAGACTGTAGTGTGAGTATGCCATCAGCAGGGAAGTTCTTAGAAGAGAGAAAAAAAAAACTTCTCAGAAGATTGGTCTCAACAAAAAAACGTGTTGGTATAGGATGACTCCGGGAGTGTCAAAAAAAGGACACTTGTAGCCGTCAGCAAGCCCAAGAACAATCCGGATCCAAAAATAGTGCATCTTTTTCTTAATTCCCTTTTTTTTTTGGGGGGGGGGAGGGGGGGGACGGGGGGCCCTCTGAAATTTCAAAAGTTTGTCAAATGCCCTTCGATTGAGAACTTTCCAATCTATCCCTGTGGCCCTTGGGGGGTGCTGCACAAGTTTGGGTTCTGCCCCTTCCAGCCGTATAGCATGAACTTGGCAATCCCCTGACAGGAGCTAATAAATCCAAAAGGGCATTTGACAAGCTTTTTAAATTTCAGAGGGGTAGTCGGCTCTAGTAACATCTTTTAGGGAATTATTTTAGAATATATGTGAACTTTCAGGGCCTTGTGATATCACCACTGAACTGACCCCCCCGGAAATTCAGAATTACTCTGTTCTGTTCATCTGATTGCGTCTGGATTCGAGCTCAGGTCTGTGTTTCAACAGTTCATGGGGGTACCAATTGAGTTAGGCCCCCTGGTAAGTGCGGTTATTTCTGTCTAATCAGCAGGGCGAAATTTCTTCCTCTTTTCGTTTTGGAGATTGTGCGCAATTTCTCAGCCGATGGGTGTCAAAAACAGACGCCTGGCCCTATTAAACCACCAGTACTTGGCCCAGTTATAAGCCGCGGCGCTTCCCCGTTAACGTGCCCTGCCGCGCCTTTAGGGCTTCGGGGTACCGGACCACAATGGCTGGAAGTGCCAGCCAAAAAAAAATTGAAACGGTAAATTGGCGCGCAGGGGCATTCCAGGCTCGGCATCGAGTGCAAAAAAAAAGACAGGCGCGTCAGTGATTGGCTTCCCAAAAAATAAAAAATGACGCTTGTCTCTGGCATGCGTCGCTGTCAGACAGCTTGAGAAAGACTGCGTCTACTGAAAAGAAGCTCAGCTGATAGGTCTCAGCAGAAAAATTCTGAGCTGATTGGTCTCAGAAAAAGAGACACGTGTCGCTGCAGGAGTCCCTGTAGAATCACTAATGAAGTGTCAAGAAAAGGACAAAAAGACAAAAGCTGGAAAATAATCAGGGTCGAAAATGAGGGCGGGTACTAATTGGCCTAGGTCAGGGTTTTTTTTTTTTTTTTTTTTTTTTGGGACCTAGATCAGTTGGTGCACCCCTGTACTGTTGACATATAAGGCGTAGCCCCACCACTGTCGAAAGTCGAAAAAATTCGACGGCTGTCAGAACAAATTCGACAGCCTCCAGTCGACAGTTTGCCCCCCCTTCGCCACACAGCACTGTAGAGTGCATGCACTTGTGAAAGCAAGATGGAAAAAGACGAACGCGCCCGACGGTACGACAATCATCAGTCCATCCTGACCTTACCCCCACTCACCAAATTTCGAAGCGAGATCGACGGCGCAGCCGAGGAGTGTCGAAAGCATCGGAGTAGCAGGCTGGGGATTAAACGACTTTGGACAAGAGGTGTAGAGAAGCATTCTCTGACAACTTGCAAATTTTCTTCTCGTCTCCGACTTCGACAGCCTGTGTGGCGAAGAGCAACTGTCGAAAATAGCATTTTCGACACTGGTGCGGGGAGGCCCATAGATCTTGAAAAAAAAAAAAAAAAAAAAAAAAGTAGATCTGAGTTTGAATGACAATTCTGAACAACCTATGGCGGGTCAGTTCAGTAGTGATATGTTTTTTTTTTTTGAGAAAACTACGGCGCAGTCAGGGTTACAGTTTGTAATTGCATTTGACACTGCGTTTTAGCAGTTCAGTCAGGGCCCGAGTTTCAATTGCATTTGAAACTGCATTTTAGCAGTTTGAAACTCGGGCTGGCTTTTTCTAGCAGTTCAGTCAGGCACATGGCC